AGAAAGCATCATGCACATTGTGACTGCTCCTGTTGGGCAGAAGCTGTCCTGGAAAAAAGTAATGTGGTAGTTTTTCCATTTGCTTTCCACATCGCAGTACCACAACCATTAAAGCTGCTCCAGCCATGCTTGTGGTAATCCAGCCTCGAACCGGTCCAGGATCATTTCCTTTACGCTTCAAGTTGGTAATAGTGGTCGCTGCTGCCCTCCACTATGCTAGTTTTTGTCCGCCCCGGGTATTTGATTTCCCCGGTACCACCCATATCTGGGAAGCATTCCCCTATCCGCAACCTGGGGAGGCGCCCGATGGGGGACTAGCAACCCCCTGAGGGAACCTTACCGTACAAAACAAGAATTTATGTGATCTTATATTTACTAATTTTACTGATATTAATGTTTCTTACTCTGATTTTGACTTGGTTGAACCTGTTACCTTCCATCCTTCCCTGGTTGTTGATCTTAGTATATATTTTTCTTCTTATTCGCAGTCTCCACGTTCATTTCGTAATTATGCTCGTGGGGATTATGTATTGTTATATAATTTTTTTTTTTTATTTTCCTATGACTGGACTTGTGTTTACAATCAGACTTCTGTTGACTGTGCCGTTAATAAGCTCAACTCAGTTATTACTTTAAATCTTGCTATACTCTATAAGTGTTCTAGGAAGTCCAAGTTTCCTTGTTGGTTTTCTAGTAGTACTTTAAAATACAGTACTCGTAAAAAGTATGTATTTTCGTCGGCACAGAAAGACTAAATCTGATATCCATTATTCTTATTTTTCATTTTTTCGCAAACTTGTTAAAGTTACTATTAAGTCTGATAGACAGCGGTGGATAAAATCTGTTGATGACAGTTATAAACTCATCCCCAGCATTTTTGGAAATACGTTTCTAATTTTGAAAGAAAGGATAACTCTTTTATCCAACTTAAAGTTGATAATCAGTTTATCACTGATTCTAAACTAATTGCAGATTCCTTTGCTTATCATTTTAAATAAGTTTTTAATGCTAATTGTCCTTCCGTTACTCCTTTTGTTTCGACTACATCTGGCTTTTTACCCACCTTAGAAGTATGTATGGCTATTAAGCGCCTTAGACTTTCCAAGTGTGTTGGACTGGATGAAATTCCATCATTTATTATTAAGGGTTGTTTGGACATGTTTATTCCTTTATTAACACATATTTTTAATCTTAGTGTATCTTCTGCGACTTTTCCATCATTGTGGAAACAAACTGCTGTTGTACATATATTTAAAAAAAGGAGACAGCACTTGTGTTAGTAATTATAGACCCATTTATATTCTTAACAATTTTTACAAAATATTTGAATTTGTTATTTATGATCACTTCTCTTATTTTTTTAAATACAAACTTAATCCTGCCCGCATGAGCTTACAAAATTTAATTTTACTTCAACTAATTTGGTTACTTACTTAAACTCCATTATGTCCATTGTTAGCACACAAGGTCAAATTGATTCTATATACTTTGGCTTCAGTAGTGCCTTTGACATGGTTCCCCATAACATTCTTCTTTACAAGCTCGCCAACTTTGGACTTTCCTCTAATTTTGTTGATTGGATTTGTAGTTATCTTACCAACAGACATTCCTTTGTATATCGGAAATCTTTCGTTTCCTTGTTAAGTCAGGAGTGCCTCAAGGTTTTAAACATATTTATTAATGATATTTCAGACTCTCTTTCCAATTCCACTTATCTGTTGTTTGCTGACGATTTAAAGATATATCGTAATATAAGAAACGTTGTTGATTGTAAGCTGTTGCAGCATGATATTCATTCTGTGAAAAATTGCTGCCATAAAAATGGTATGAAGCTCAATTTAGGTAAAAATACGATTATATCTTTTACTCGTAAAACAAACAGCTTATATTTCAATTACAAATTATTATTACTTAGGCATATTTTTAGCTCATTTACTTGTTAATTA